CACCATGAAAATTTGTTGGAATGCATAATGCACTTTGTCCTCCATACCTATGAAAGTTGCCAGTGTTATAACAGGCATATCACTATGAAGAGACGAAACTAGAATGTCTCAGAATATGCTGAATGATAGTTTTCAATATTTTTTGGAAGCTAGAGTTGGGCGGTATGACTCAAGGGGGGAAAATGTAGCTATATGTGCCCACTGACTACCAATAAGAAAATTTCACTTCTATTTATGTTCTTAATGCGTAAAATAAGAATTTTCTTCATATCTACAAATTTTAAACTGAAAATTTCTCTTTAACCTTAATGGTACTCATTTTTGTCTGATTCCTGTAGTACTCGATCCTTAAGGAATCAAGTTTATTTCCTTTAGGAGGGATGGTGGTGCTGATAGTTAGGCTTAGTGCTGAAATGAGTGGGATCTTGATGTTTCATTAATTTACTTCTTTTTCTTTGGCTCCCTCTATAGCAGAGGGTGTATCAAACTATTTCTTTCACCAACAGAAATTTTCATTTTTAACAATTTTTATCATAGTATTTTTAGATTTCAAATGGTGGATATTAAAAGAAAAAGAATGCATTTTGGTTACCAAATTTATGTATGTATGTTCCCTCCTCAATTTGGAAAAAATATTTTCCTATGATTCTACTACCTGGCTCAACTTATTTTTCTACTCTAAAACAGTATTTCCAGGAGAATTAGAAAGAGCAGTTTCATTGCAGGAGACAGAGATACTTATTTTCTTTTTCTTACCCATACCACTCAGAGCTTAGAAAAGATCCTTGCTTAAAGATTAGGATTATTCAGCCCACCCCATTTAATAACTGCTGAGAGTGTTTGTGAACTACGTAGGGTAAAAGCAGAAAAGACGTTATTTTCCAGCGAAGGCCTCTTTTGTCTTGAATTAAGTCAATGTAACACTAGATCACGACTGTGTCACTAAACTGGGCCCAGTGGCTCATGCTTGTAATCCCAGCACTTTGGGAGGCTGAGGCAGGTGGATCACCTGAGGTCAGGAGTTTGAGACCAACCTGGCCAATATGGCAAAACCCTGTCTCTACTAAAAATACAAAAACTAGCTGGGCGTGGTGGTGTGTGCCTGTAATCTCAGCTACTCAGGAGGCTGAGGCAGGAGAATTGAACCTGGGAGGCGGAGGTTGCAGTGAGCCAAGATCGTGCCACTGTACTCCAGCCTGGGTGACAGTGAAGCTCCATATCAAACAAAAAAAAAAAAAAAGAAAAAAAAAGATTTGTGTCACTGGGTGATAGGTCCATCTGGATCAATACCAGTTACACAGTAAACAGAAACAAGGGGAAGAAAAGTTGGAAAACAGCACCAACCCCAAAACAGTGTGCACACACACACACAGATAATGCAAGACTATGTAGTCATATAAATGTTACAAAATTCTGTATGTACGTTTAAAGAAGATGATTATCAAGGTTTAGAGCTGTCTGAAGGCTGTTAGTTAAGAGAAGTAATTTGAGTGGCAGATTCTGGAGAAACCTGCTTTCTCGGTAGGCTTTAAGCTCTCAAGCCAGAGACTTCTCTCAACAGAAAGTTTTTTTATCTTTACTTTCAAGTACCTTCTGAAGGTGCTCTCTGGTTCTATCCAGGCGTTATTTTACTGTTTCAAGTTATTTCTACTTGTTGTTATCTATTTACTGTCCTATCTTTCCCTAAGGTTGCCTGTTTTTTTTTTTTTTTAATTAATGGATTTTTTAGCTCTCAAATTGAGGCACATGTGGCCCCCACAGTGTCTGTTGTACATTGGCTATGCATGAAGCTACAAGATATACTTGAAGTATCTTTCCAGAGGGTGTATTTTGAAAATCAGTAAAGAAAGACATTATATTGTAGTGGTTAAGGTTGTGGGCTTTGCTAACTTCCTAGTTAGGATTTTGACTAAGCCACTTGTTCTTTGACAAGTTACTTAACGTATCTGTTCTTCAATGGTTTAATCTGAAAAATAATACTAGTGCAAGTTAAAGGCCCTAAGGTTTGCCTTCTATGTTTAAGGAAGAGAGTAAGAAGGCCAGGAGGGTTGGAACACAGTGAGCAGGTGGTGAGCAAAAGGAAAAGAGATGGGGGGAGAAGCTGCCTATCCTGTAAGGCTTCATAGCTTTTACTCTGAATGAAATAGAAAGTGATTATGTGCAGAAAAGTGATATGATCTGATGCATGTTTTTAATAATATCTCCCTGGATGCTGAGTTGAAAGAAAACCACAGGAGGCAAGGGTGAGACCAGGTAGGTCACTGCAATAATCCATTTGAAAGGTGATGATGGCTCAGACCAGAGTAGTAATGATGGGTGTGGTAAGAAGTCACAGACCAGGTATGGAGGTCACACCTGTAATCCCAGCACTTTGGGAGACTAAGGCAGGCACATCATTTGAGCCCAGAAGTTCAAGACCAGCCTGGGCAACATAGGGAGATGTTGTCTCTGCAAAAAAATACAAAAAGTTAGCTGGATGTGGTGGTGTGCACCTGTAGTCCACCTACTAGGGAGGCTAAGGTGAGAGGATCACTTGAGCCCAGGAGGCTGAGGCTACAGGGAGCTGCGAACATGCCACTGCACTCCAGTTTGGATGTCAGAGCGCGACCCTATCTCAAAAAAGAAAAAAGGAATAGGAGGAGGGGAATTGGAGATAGGAAGTTTAAGAAACATCATACTTTCATATTCTAGTTAAATATGAATGTCTTTTTAATATTATTAAATGTGAATGCCTACTTTACTTAAAAATTTCCCTTACCAAATTATCTTCATAAAAAAATTGCTACTTAAAAATCAGCAACTATCCAAACATAGGAAACCTGATGTTTTGATGGAAGGAGACGAAGAGAAGACGACTTTGGGAGAAGGGGACAAATAAGTTATCAGTGAAAAAAAAAATAGTATATAACATTTATAAATTGCTGTAAAGACACAAAAATGTTTGTAGTTAATCACAGATATATGGAAAACGAAAGTTTTTTTTTTTTTTTTTTTTTTTTGAGAGGAGTCTCACTCTGTCACCAGGCTGGAGTGCAATGACACGATCTTGGCTCACTGCAACCTCCGCCTCCCAGGTTCGAGCAATTCTCCTGCCTCAGCCTCCGCAGTAGCTGGGACTGTAGGCATGTGCCACCATGCCTGGCTAATTTTTTTATTTTTAGTAGAGATGGGGTTTCATCATGTTGCCCAGGCTAGTCTTGATCTCTTGACCTCATGATCCATCTGCCTTGGCCTCCCAAAGTGCTGGCATTACAGGCGTGAGCCACTGTGCCTGGCCAGGAAAATCAAAGTTTTAACACAATTTCTAGGGCAATTCTGCCCACTGGCTATGGGCAGAAGACTGTGGTATCACTCATGTACCCCTAACATGCACACACACAAATAACATGCACACGCATACCTAGGCTTCACTTTAGTTAAGTTTGGGCTGAGCCCTGGTACTTTATTTTTGAGTGGGGGGCGGCCTCAGTATGTTGCCCAGGCTGGAGGGCAGTGGTGGCCTGCAGCCTCAAACTTCTGGGCTCAAGCAGTCCTCTCACCTCAGCTTTCTGAGAAGTAGGGACTACTGGGGGGTATCACTGTACCCAGCTAATTTTTTTAAAGCTCCATGAATGATAATGGAATTTGAAAGCACCACAACCAAGCTTGGATTAACAATATGTTAAAAACATAAAATAAGCCAAAACAATTAGGACCCCCTAAGAGACTCAGCAGTAAAATCACTGTATCAGAAATGTAAAAAAGGATGAGGATACTAGTGATAGTAGGGGCTGCATGCTGCCTGAGGGTGATGTATTTCCAACTTACATCTGATATATCAAACGATTCACTGCAGATACATAGATGGCTAAGAGATGCCCTTACTCTAAAAGACTCAGTTTATCTACAGACTGACATAAAAATTCAAGAAAACGAACAACTTCCACCTTCTTATCTAAATGAATTAAACAGTCCTACTGAAAATCACATAACTTAAGTCAGATAAAACATATAGCAGAAATTTCTCTATTTGAATTAATATAGATATAATTTAGTATTATGTCAATATCAACTAGTCTATTTCAGAAAAGGGCAATCAATCAAAATAGATTTAAAAGTAATGTCCTTGTAATTCCAAATAAAAAGAAATATCTTAACCAGCATTTAAGGGAGGATGAAAGGGACAAATACCAGGAACAAGATTCAAATTTCTCTTTGAGATAAATTATTCTAAGACTTAGCAGCAATAGATTTTAATATAAAATAAGACTAAAATGTTATATTAGAAAAATGAAGAATTCCCCACCCCCTACCCCGGAGAAAAGGGTTTCACTCTGTTGCCCAGGCTGGAGCGGAGTAGTATGGTCATAGCTCACTCTAACCTTCAAACTCCTGGGCTCAAGCTATCCTCCTACCTAACTAAGTCTACCGAGTTAACTGGGACTACAGATGCGTGCCACCATGTCTGGCTAATTTCAAAACTTTTTTGTAGAGACAGAGTCTTCCTGTGTTGCCCCAGCTGGTTTCAAATTCCTGGGCTCAAATGATCCTCCCACGTCGGCCTCCCAAAGTACTGGAATTATAGGCGTGAGCCACCATGGCCAGCCAAGAATTACTTATTCTTCAAATATCTGGTCAAAGAAGGCAAGTTACCATATTAGTCAAGAGAGTTAACTAGTTGCTCATTAAAATGTGTTTCCAGAAATTTTTACAGAAAATTTAAAGGGAAAGTCAGCATCACCACAGGTACAAGATTAACTGAAAAGTGTCATAAACATTAACAAACCAACCAACCAGGCTGATTACTCTGAAGAGCTGATACGCCAATTATTCAAACTTGCAGTTTTATAATAATAAAATAAAATTAAAATGTATATGAATACTCTCAAACGTTAAGATAACATTATTTGGGGCAATATTTAAACAATGCAATAATAATGCTAATACCCATTTCTGCTGTGAAAAATGTACACCAACAAGCCCAGCATGGAAAACTATCCCACCGTCAGTATTCATATTACCTTGTGTGTATGCAGCATCATCAGATCCCATACTCAGTTTCCGTGTTTCACTTATTCTATCCACATGTGCTAATGTCGGGTCTGTGAGGTGCTGAATATTCTCTGTTTCTACATAATGATCAGGATGGTTTAGAAGATTTGTAAGTTCAAAGGTAGGGGACACCACCCCTGGTGAAACTGCAGGGGGTTTATTGGGAGAAACCGTAATTTTGAAAGTGTATTTCGTATTGGGCTGAGTGACTACCACTCGAGGAGAGGTGGCAGAGTTATTGCCTATTGCTCGACTTTTGGGTGGGTGGTGGTGAATAAAGGCAGGACCCATGCTCACTTGCCCAGACATGTTCCTGGCGGCAGCAGATGCTCCAGAGTTTGTGGATATGAAGAGTGTGGGCTGATTCCGCATGACCTGTTCATCTCCTGTGGTGGCATTAGCTGAAATATAGACCTTAGGTTGACTACGGGACATCAGCTCATCCGTATTTGGGGGGCTGGCAGCTATGTAAACAGTGGGCTGATTTCTATTTAAGGTCTGGCTGTTGACTGAAGAGGAACTGCTAGAAGTTCGAGGTCCAGAAGAACGCAGTTTTGAAGAATTGTTTCTTTGTGGGGGTTCAAGTTTGATTTCAATCTGGTTTTTTCGAGGTCCTGTTGAAATATTCTGAATGTTATATTGGCTATGGGAAGAAGACTGTGAGCTACCAGATGAATGAATGGTTGGTGGTTGTGAAGTAGTAGGTGAACTGATTGGCATGTAGACATGAGAGGTCTGGTGGCCTTGCTGATTTGGCTGTTGAGATGAGGTATGTGACAGAGGATTAGATGCAGGACAAGTAGTCCAGGGACCAGGCTGTGAAGGTTGATAAACTTGCTGAGGGTTCATGGGGTTAAACTGAGATACCCAGCCAGAATGCTGTTGTGTCTGTCGAGTTGTACCACCAGGAGTTGTAATGTAAGGCCTAATATAGATAGAATTTCCCTGTGGACTGTTAAGTACAGGTGGAGGTACACCATGTATGTGCAAAGATGTAGGAGTATTACGACCAGTCTGGATATTTGGGGCTAATGTTACCATAATGGGATTAAATCTGGGAGTTTGTTGAGAAAGGCTGGATGTTCCTTTGCTGCCTAAGTGAAATCCAAGATGTGGTACTGAATTTGAGGCACCAGAAGAACTGGACATTCCAAAAACATTAAAGCCTTGAGGAACTTGAGCTGGTGCTGTCTGTGGCTCCTGCTGAAATAGTTCATTATTGGACTGGCCACCTTGAAGTTGTCCATCACTAATGCTGTGCGTTAGAGTCCTACTTCCATTCATTCTATTTCCTTCTCTTCCATGGTGGTAAATGTTCTGTGATTGCAAGTCCAAGTTGAGAGAAGTCATGTGATTGCGTAGACCAGAAATTCCAGAATCATCCGAAAAATTCAAGTCTCCTTCACCATAAAGATATCTTGTACTCTCCTGAGAGAGAACAGCACAGCAGGCATCCAGGTTATTATTATTCTACGAAAACAAAATAAAAACAACCTGGTATTAACAATCAGAAGCTAACGCTTATATTTGCATCTCTACAAATGCATGATTAACAAGTAACTGGCTAATACAATTATAACATATATTTGGATATTTAAATTTGAGAAGTATTTTTATGCAAATAATTGAATTAAAAATTCTCGCTACTAATGTAATGGAAAAGCTCTAACAAAATGAATCAAATCATGGTTCCATTTTAGCAGCTACAATGGATAAAGAGAGTAAAAGGGATTCAGACAGATACAGTAAAATTATAATCTAACTAAAAAGGCAATTTTAATGTTGAACAAAATATAATCATTCAACTTAAGTATATAATACTATATAAACATTTTTAAAAAGCTAAATGGAAAAAATTGTCTAATAATGCTTGCACATTCAAATGCTATACAAACTTGTTTAAACGAATAAATATTTACATTTGTAGCATTTAAAGTTCTGAAACTCATACAAAAGTCATCTCAATTCCTCACATGCTTCCTCTTGTGCAAACTCACTCTCTCTCTTTGTCTGGAAGCTCAAGGTAGCCTCCAGAAGAACTAGTTCCTTTCTCTGCTTTTAGATAACATCATAAAAATCTACTCCAGAGAAATAAAAAAACTGCCAAAACTCAAATTGTTTTTAAATTCTCGAAAGACACTGACTAACCAGTAGTCATAAATTATCCATGAAAATGTTTGCCAAACACCTACTATATGCATAGCACTGTGAGCCTGTGGAAAAATCAAAGACATATAAAACCAAACTTTTCCCCTAGAAGAGTTTGTAACTCAGGGAGACAAACCACAGATTTCTGAAAAGGCAACATGAGTACATTCCAAATATTAAGTAGTACTGAAGTTCAACAGAGAATTCATATTGTAGGCTACTAAAGAAGGGACTGGGTTAATGAGGAAGATATGGCCTGATGGTTTTCATAGAATATGTAGAACTTGAACAACAACAGCAACAACAACAATTCTTGGTGAAGAGAATGGCACAAGTAAACAAGAACAAAAATGTGAGAGTTAGGTAAAAGCATGTTCCATACAAGGTGGCTGGAACAGATCTGGCTGGAGCTAAAGATTTGTACTGAAAATGTTGTTGAACAAATTGTTGCAAAAGCAGATTGGAAGTAAATAATGAAAGAGTTTTGAAAAATGAGTCACACTAGAGTTTGGACTGTATTATAAGCAATGAGGAGAGCTACCGAAAGTAGATGAACAGAGAAGACATAAATGGTATTCAAGGAAGAGAAGTCTATTGATACCTATGATGAATAAAAAGATGAAACATCTTTTGACAAAATGGCCAGTTAGAAGACATGAAGTAACGAGAGTGTGATGGTGGAAATAAATTTTTAAAAAATATAAATTGTCAACATAATTTGGTAACAAGAGAGAAAGAATTCAAATAAGCCTGGAAGATTAAGACCCTGACAGAAAGGGAGTTTTAGACTTAAGAAAGAGGAATAATCAAGTTAAAATGTTCAGAGGCAGTTTGATATGAGATAAAATCATATTAAGAAAGAAGGAGACAAAAAGGCATCCTGATGCCTTGTTAAGGAAATGACAGTTCACATTGTTTGAACAGGTACTACAAAAGTAAAGGACAGTGAGCAAGGTTTGACTTCCCCCTTCCTAAAACCAACAATTTAAATCTCACATGCTATAAAAATCCATTTATCCTACTTATAACTCTGAATTGATATATACTAATTTTTCAAATAAAGTTGAAAAGCTAATTGCAATCTTTATTAACGATTCCTTATATTTAGGCCTTATCTTTTGCCAAACCTGATTGGTGCTTTTGCTTTAAGTTAAATTTATCGCCATTCCAAGTAAATTCTTCTTCCTTCTAAGCCAAAGCCTAGAGACTTTATCTTCCTCTCACCTCCTCTCTGTCATAATTCTCAGATTAAAATTTATATTCCCTATTAAATCCAATTCCACACTTCCTTTGTAAAAGCTTGATACTCATATTTAGTCTTCCTCTTTAATTCTCTTGAGCTCTCAAAAATCCCTTTAATTCTTTATAATCTCTGTAATTATTCAATATGTTCATATTAAAAAGCAATATTCTAGTTCAGCTATACCATAATTTATGTGCACTCATGTTATTTATGCTCTACAGATACTACTTTCTTAACAGCGAAACATAAAGAACTTACAGGGGAAGATTAAAATAGGACAAGAGGAAATGTACTTTTTAATTACAATTTTTATTTTAGAAAATTTTAAACATATATAAAAATAGAGAGGAAATATAATAAACTCCCACATACTTATCACCCATCTTTAACAAGGTGAGTCTTTTTTCATTCGATATGCCTCAGCTGCTCCCCCTACCAAACTAGATCAAGTCTCAGACTCATCTTTTCATCTGTAAATATTTCGATATGTACTGTAAGAGACAGGGACTTAAAAACGTAACCACAATGCCATGATCATACCTTAAAATAATCAGTTCTTAGTATCACCCAATACTCAAATAGCATTAAATTTCCCTGTCTCAAAAATACTTTTGTACAGTTAGCTTAAATCAGGATCTAAATAAGGCCCACGTATTTCATTTGGCTGATAAGCCTTTTAGGTTTCTTCTAATAATCCGCCCCCTTCCCTCTTTTAAAATTTTTTCTAGCCATTTGTTTGAGAAAACTTGATATTTGTATAGAATTTCCCCTATTCTGGACTGCACCCTGTGGTCAATCAATTTCCCCTGCATTTCACTGAAAGCAAGTTCATGTATGAATTTTTGGTAAGACCATTCATAGATGTCCACTGTCACAGCACACAGGAGACACATCAATGTCTGCCTGTCTTTTGTGATTTTAAAACTGACTGATAGATTCAGATGTTGTCAGCTTGATCCAAATAATGATTTTTAGTAGCTACTGATGATCACTGCTTAGAAACACTATTTTATTAGGGGTGCTAAACAGTAATATTAGAATGTCCCAATTATAAGATTTTGGCCAGGTGCAGTGGCTCACACCTGTAATCTCAGCACTTTGGGAGGCCAAGGTGGGACAATCACTGGGTCTAGGAGTTTGACACCATCCTAGGCAACATAGTGAGATCCTGTCTCTAAAAAAATTGTGTTTTTAATTAGCCAGGCATGGCAGTAGACCTGCAGCCACAGCTACTTGAGGCTGAGGCTGCAGCGAGCCACGATCATCCCACTGCTGCATTCCAGCCTGGGTGAGAGTGAGACCCAGTCTCTTAAATGAATAAATAAACAGAAAGGATTTCATCTTCAATTCTTAGCAGCATTTCTTCCTTGAACACTTGCCCTCTTCAACTATTTGGTTACATTCTGCACAGAAGAGGCAGGATAAAAAATTCTTTTCTCCAGTTTTCAGAATAATAAATTGGGTCCCCAGCAACCTCCAAGGGTGACTATGATTTATTTTTAGTATCATTATAAACTCATGTATCTTTAATATTTTGATGTGTTTCAGTCAGTTTTGGTCATTATGATCCCTCTTTATGTTACTGGGAACAGCTTCAAGTTGGCTCCTGGGTAAATAACATGAATCCAGTAGTTTTTCAAAGCTTCTCTGCTTTCTGATGTGACAAGATGTTCCAGCTCATCATGTGCATCTACTCCAGACTTGGAATCAGCCATTTCTCAAAAAAGCCCTGGTTACTTTTAGTGAGAAAGGGTAGAGGACGCTCTTGAAGTATATAAAAAGTGACGGGATATATGAGTTTTTAAAAGGTGGAAAAATTACTGCTTTTTGGTATACAGCCATAAATATTCATTCTCCTCAAAGCTATAAAATGTCTGCATCATTTCCAGTTCCTCTTTCATTTTTCCCCAAACTTCTGCACAGACACAGAAATTACAGATGGTATCAAAGTATATATACCGTATTGAGGGAATGTGTTCTCTTTCCGGGTCCACAAGGGGGCGTAGTTTTAAGGGCAAGAACTTCCTAGCGCCATGCCCCCTTCCCATCTCTCTTCATCTGGGAGATTTAGCGGTTTATGTTTAGAAAGAGTCAAATCACTCCAGCGGAAGTTCTAAGGAACTCCTTTCATTGGCCTGGGGTCTTAGAGAAGGTGGAGGTTCCTCCTAGGTTAAAAGTTCCCTTCTCCCACACCCCTTTGGACTCCATGTTTGGGTCCCCTTCCACCAACACTCCCTTCGTTGAAGCCATCTTTCTCTCTCCTGGATTTTCCCTCTGGAGTCCCCTTCCACACTCTCTCGAGGAAGCCTGTCTTCCCCTCCTAAACTCCACCTCTCTCTGTTCCCTTCCACTCAGTGTGGAAGCTGCTTTCCTCACCTGGATTCCATCTTTCTGGATTCTCTCTCTCTGTTTCTCTCTCCTCCTCTGGTTTCTCTCTTTCTCTCTAAATAAATCACTTTCTACAAACATTTTTTACCCCAGCATTTACTGCACACTGTGCCATGGTCCCCTCTCTCATTCTTAAGAGGACAGGAGACCAAGAGCCTAGAGAAACGTCCTCTCAGGCGAGCTGCATCCATTAGGCAAGTGGAAAGGAATATGATCGCTGATCCCAAGAATCTCACAGTCTAGTGGAGGAGATTAATGTGAACACAAATGAAATGCAACATGGTAGGTGTTATAATAGAAATATGGATAAGGATGATGGGTGAAGGTCATCTGGGAAGGTTCCACTAAGTATATGGCACTTAAATATTAAGTATTACATATACTGAATGAACAATACTTAACGCGGTACTTTGAAAAACAATATCAATTTTAAACTTACAGATTCAATTGTCATTTAAACGAATTTAAAAACAGTAAAAAATTCAGTTAAAAATCAAAGTGAAAACTATGCAATATTTTCATATTCTTCTAAGTTTTAAGATTTAACTACCAAATATAAAAATAAACTTTGAAGATACAAATTACACCTGCTGGTTATAAGCTATCTTAGAGAATCCATACAGAAGGAAAAGATATGAATAGTTCCAAAAAGAGGGAACTATGCAACAGATAAACTTAAGAAGAGAACAACAGAGGATAGAAACTTTTGTTCTCTTCCTGAGAAGCAAGATTAAAAAAAGAACATGTACACAGAGTTGGTAGCATGTCATCATCCTTCACTAATTTTAAAAAGTTCTGATCTGGTCACGTGCAGTGGCTCACACCTGTAATCCCAGCACTTTGGGAGGCTGAGGCAGGCGGATCACCTGAGGTTAGGAGGTCAAGATAAGCCTGGCCAACATGGTAAATCCTGTCTCTACTAAAAATACAAAAATTAGCCAGGCATGGTGGTGGGTGTCTGTAGTCCCAGCTACTCAGGAGGCTGAGGCAGGGGAACCGGGAGGCGGAGGCTGCAGTGAGCCGAGATCACACCACTGCACTCCAGCCTGGTGACAGAGCAAGACTTCATATCAAAAAATAAGA